TAATGATCATACCTAAAACACACCAACTGGCATCAGCATTTTACAGGGCATGTAATATCTAGGCTTCCTTTAAGATGTCAGAAATTAAGATAGTCCCTAGATCAAATCATGCCCCCTTCCCTGCCCCTCCTAGGGGGTGTAGGGGGGCACATATATATTTAAACTGTTCAAAACTGAACTGATTTCTACTTTCCTCTAGCCAAAGTGCTCAGGTGAGTGATGAAGCCCATGGACCACTACTTGTTTTGTCATTTAAAATGCATATTAAGAACCCTCTATACACTGCACACTAACATGATTAAAGAGTTCTAATTCCATTGTATTTTTATGCAGTTAGAGTTATCTGCCCTTAGATCTAAAATGAAATAAATCAAAATTTAAATTTATTATTTGAATTTATTATTTAAATTTATTATTCAATTTGTAATCAATTCAAACATTCTAAATTGAGTTGAATTAATTGAATGCTTTATTTGCATGCATTTTTGTCATTTAAGTAAGCAACAGTGACTTCAGTTTACCAACACTTCATTGTCTTTAAATATTTTTCCTGGGGATAATTGGCAGGTACCCTATGTTGAAAATCAAATAGATAAACTCTATATCTTTATATAATTTTCTTAGAGCCTAAAAAACATTTTTCATTGGTGAATAGAGTGTCTTTAAACAAACAAAATTGAATGATTGAGATATATTTTTGTTTGATAAATATTCAACTTCATTTATACCAATACATGAAATCATGGATAAAAGCAAACCTTTGCCATCCAGTAAGCGCACAACCTTGAACCTTTTTGAACTTTGACCTCTCTTTTGCCATGACGTTGAGCCACATGGTATGATTATCTACATGATAGGCAATGTTTGTGGCATACACATTTGCCCCTGTTGCCCCTTTGAATGCACTAGCTATCCAAATATTTGGGAACACTTTGGAGTATTTGTCCCATATATCTACAATTTGAAATTTATCATTGCTTTCATCAGACTAGGGGTAAATTCTCAGATTTTATGAATTAAATATACTGTAAATGAACAAATTACCTGGTGGAAGTCTAAAAGATGTTAGGTAGTGCCAAACCATAGGTTCAACTAAATCTCCAAGGCCAGAATCTACAAAAAAATTGCAAAAGTAGTGAAAACCAAATTTATAATTGTCAATATTTGAAAGCAGAAAAAAATGAAGAAAAACATCTGTTTGGGTTAAAAGTACAGAAAACATTTAAAAAACATTCTGTAACCAGAAATTTTCTTTCAATATTACTTTTATTCAATTGAACTCACAGAATTGCAATTTAATCCTGTTTGATTCTTTCTAAAGTTTACATTTTACTCCCCAGCCCACCCCTGATACATCACACTATATGTCTATTTTCAACTATAGATTTAATCTTTATCTCATAAAATTAACCTGGTCTCAAAGATAAGTGTAAATAATTGAAAACAAAACTTGAACAAAAATTTCTCAGCATTAAGTATTGAAACCATACTTAAATTCATCCTAAAAAAAGAAAATATTTACTGATAAGGAGAGGTAACTCTGTATGTCTCAGCATGTCGTCCCACATAATACAGCTGATATTGGGATGGGTATCCTTAATGTGATCTAGAACAGCCTTAATATGAAGTAAAAACAACTGCTGGGGTGTTAGATTCTCTTCTAACATTCGGATTTTACATCGCTCACAAACTCCTAAATGATACACCTAGAATTGAAAAAAATTAATGTATTCAATATCAAATCAATTTCTTTAATTCTGTGGTTATATAATCCAGAAATAAGAATTTTCTATTACAAAACTAAAAAAATAATTTTTTTAAAAAGGATAGACAGATAAAAAAAAATCATACTTTAAGACTCGGCTAAGGCGAGATAATGATACAGTGTGTAAAATAATAAGTCAATTTTACCTCATCTGCCCCGATGTGGAAAGAGCGTATCCCAGGATGCAATTCCATAACCTGATCAATCATCATACATACAGCCAGAAGGGAGTCTACAAAATAAACAAGATCAATAAAAATTGTCTTCATAATGAAAAGTAAATTATCACTGTACATGTACTGTAATATGTAAATACAAGTCCATCTCAGAAAGAAATACATGTAAGATATACCTGAATTAGAGGGACAAAGTGCCATTGGATAGTTTGGAACTTCTCGCAGTGATCTGAACTTCTCAAGTTTTAATACAAACTGAAGATAATTAAATAACATTGCAAAAAATTAACAAATTCCTTTCTAGTAACAATGTAGGAAATTTGAAAAGTGTGAATACAAATATTTGATGGTACATATTTACTTCAGTCAAGAATCAAACCTCAAAATGACCAATGGACTGGACTAGCGGTATTACAGTAAGACCGTTGTCCTCTGCAAGTTGCAAAATGCTTGCTATGCACTCTTTACTGCAATGAAAAATGTCACAATTATTGCTCAAAATGATAATATTGGCATGAATGAAAATGTCTCCTTTATGTTTTGTTCAAATCAGTGGCTTTTAGAATACTTACATGTACTTTGTTTAAGTGTCAATGTAAATAAGAATCAAACCTGTAAGCAAATTCTGAGGCAATTTCATTGAGGGCTCCCCAGTATGGAAACATGTCTTCATATTCTATCAGGAGACCAGTAGCACCCCATTTCTTCATCAGTGGAAAAATCTGAAAGTCAGTTTTAATCAAATTAAATTTTCTTGCAAACTCTGTTACTTTTCTGTCAAATCTGTACTCAAGAAATACATACAGAAATAGTAGTTTGAATGTAAATAAGAGGAGTTCTATTCTCAATTTGCTAACAGTTATTGGAGTGCATGGTAATTCCTAAAGAGCTTTGCCATTGTCATTAACTTTAGTTACCGTAAAAGATTACACATACCTTCTCAAAATATGTTACTTTTGGTGGTGCTCCTTTCAAGTCCAGATGCACAAGTCTAAAAAAAAGTATACTAAAGGACATAGTTAGGATAATATTAACAAGTAGTTTTTCATGAACCAGGACTTACTGTAAACATACATGTTCAATTAGGGCAAGTGCACTAAAATTAAGTGCAATCTTCCTCATCAACTGATTTATGTAATCATGAACTAGCATAGTCAAGCTTATAAAAATAATTTTATATTTAGCATGTACTTTAAAATTAGAGGACAAGATGCAGCCAAAAAGGCACTGAAATATCATCTCAGCTGAGGCTGGGCTTGGCTGGATATTTGGACCACAGGCACTTGTTTCAGTAATAAATTTTTAACCCATAGTATATTAATAACACAAGGTATCCAACTCCAAATTACATGGAGTACCCCCCCCCCCCCCCAAATGCAATCATTTACACTTTCAGAGGAATTGCACTTGCAAACTGTTTATTACTATTGTCTTCTACGATAATTTATCAACACAACCACATGGCATGCTCGTCTCTATTCTCCAGTGTCAAAACTCTGCTCACCGACTATGAAAACTAAAATCCAGAAAGTTCAGAGAAGAAATGCAAGAAAGCAAAACCAACTCACCAGTATTGTCAGTCTGTTCTCGGTGATTCATGCAGACTAAACAAATTGAACACACCCGGTAAAACGTACTAAACAATATGCACTAATAGTGCTCGTGCGGTTTACAAATAGTTAATACAGGTGTTTGACATGTTATGAAGAATGTTGTTGTCATTGAATTCTTCTAATATTCATGTATGTTCAAAATCATTAAACTAAAGTTATTTTTTTAATAAAAATAGACATTTAAAATTGTAAACAATGCAACTGTGTCCCAGCCCCTTGAATCTTTATAGCGATAAATCAAAACATGTCGGAGTTGTTTACTTTTCTTATCCCTGTAGTGATATAGTAATTATGACAGAAGCATTCATACCAGTATTTAGCAAAAAAAATAAATATTCATACTTGATATCCATATCATTTCCGATAAGGTATCACATCCCAAAATGCTGACTCTGCTATATAAGTAACTAGACACACTGACACAATGCAAAATACAAGAGCACTCTTGCTATTAGTTTACTTTCCTGATTTGATTATGCATTCTGTGTAAATTAATTAAAGCACTACACACAAAATCAGTTTACCTCTGTATGTCTTCCATTTAACTTGGAGGTGGTCTTCGAGTATGCACGCGTGGTTTAGCTTTATCAACAGCGACAACTATTTCTGCAGATTACCTGGATATATTACTTAAGTTACCATACACATATGTAAAAAATGGATATACAAGACGGAAATTGACACGTTATATTAAGGAACAAGAACTGTCAGCAAAAGCTAGTGTTTCTGTAGAGTACTTTAGCACAAAATCTATTATTTCATCTGCCCGACTGAATCAAAACAACATTTATTTTTAAGATCTGTATTGGAATAAAAAACGAATTAAAAATAAATATATTTCAGAATATTTTTAAAAGTATGTATAAAACCTATATCAATTTAGATTTTTTTTTCTTTAATAAAAAGAAACTTTTATGATACTAAAAAGGTAATATGATATTATTTTTTGATTCATGTTTTTCTCTTTTTTTTTCGTTTTGTATAATATATAAATTTCTGTTTCTAAATATAGACAGTAATATTTGTAAACAGACTTGGGTAGTTAGAACATTTTACACTGGTTTGTGACATTTGTATGTACCCTACACGTATCTATCTTGAATATATTTGTAATAATATCAGTTTGTTTGACAATTTTTCTAGTTATTATATATATAATTTTAGTTAAAGGTGTCAATGATGTCAGAATGGTCATTAACCAGTGTTAACTGATATCAGGGACCTATATACTATATATAGTATATAGGTCCCTGCTGATATATGGTCATTGAGTGATTTAACAGATCTTTGCATAAATCAGAAATGAGGCCTTTTTCCCGACGTCTAGACCTCAAACAACGAATTTCATGCTATCAACATGAATGATGAATCTAATATTAACCTACTTTATTAAAAAAAAAAAGGGTCAACAAATTTTAATTAATCTGCTTCCTCGGATTTCAGGGTTGCACAATGGGAGGAGTAAAAGTAAGAGAGGAAACAACGTCTAAGTTAAAACTGGTCAAGGAGCCAAGTTTACAATCATTTAGTGTTGTCATTGGTTTGTATCATTTTTTTTTTTTAATAGAACATGCTTTTTTCACCAATGCAATCTCATTTTACTATGTTGACCGATAGAGTGTGTGTACTGTGTAGCTATATATATTCAACATGAACAAGCAAGCTTGGTGCATTTTACTTAAAATACATGTATGACATTTCATTATTTTTCTTTTATGGGAATTTTAAATACAGATGTCTAAGAAATTTACTGTTAAAATCAAATTCTAAGGTAATTTGTACTCAGTATGTACCATATACTTGTTACATTGCCCCCAATATTTTGAAATATTATAATTGCTGAATTTATGAAAAAAAGTATCAGTTATCAACAGAGCTGTCATGTCAGGGAGGACCCTTTTCATCTTTAGATACTCATTTTAATCTTAATATTCTTCCTCCTCTCTTTGTTGGATTTAGTCATATTTAAAGGATAAAAGGAAATGTTTACATGACAGTGTTAACACTGCCTACTTGAAATCTAATCCCCCTCAGAGGCTGCACTCGAGGTTGCTAAGCTTATACTTCAGATACAGCCCCGCCTTTTTCCAGGTGTCTCATTTTACTTACACATCATAACAATTTGAAGTAAATGATGAAACATAGTAGCAGTAGAAACTGGTCTTATGTTTAATTGTAACTACTGAGTAATGAATTATGCTTGTGATATATTTTTATCCTCTTGAGAACTAAACCCCATAGGTGCTTAAAAATGTAGTACATCATACATGTGATATGTAACGGCGGTACGCAAAATGTACAGTTTTTCGTGCCCATTCATCGTGTACCGGTGGGACACCAAAATTCACGGAATATGAAAATTTGTACAGTATTTTTAATTTCTCGCTAACTGCCGCCATTTTCCTCTCATTCTAGCTCGCGAGACACTGGAAAACGTCACCTGTGTTTGACACTTGACCTTCTGATAATTGTGTAGTGTGCACAAACCATCGCGTGGAAGGTGTGAACTGCCAATTGGGATAATTATCTTGCTATAAATCCGTATCAAGATACCCATTTAGGTAGCTTTATTTTTAAAGGGGTACTTAATTATAACTGTTAATGTTTCGTAACTTGATTGAAAAAAATTAAGCCAACTTCTAAAGTTGATATACATGGCTTAATATATATGAATCTGACCCAGATCTTCATAGGTATAAAATATACGATGTTTATTACCATGATTAAATGAAATAAAGGATATAGTTTTAAGTTTTTATGTGCTGAAATTTATGTATGATTGTATTTGCTGCCGTTATTTAGCATTGCTGATGTATATATCGTAATATGAACAAGATGATGACATTGACTCTCACGTTAATACTATATAAAGCTGGCAAACAACTAACATCTAAGCTAGCTTAATTTATAGTGGATTCATAAGAACATTGTGATTATAAAACACAATATATGAAATTTTAAAGCATTCAAATCTCCATTACAACTTTTAAAATAAGACATTTGCAACAATATATATTTGTTGGTTTAGAAATAAGGTGCCTTATGAGAAGAATTTAAGCGATATTTTATACTGTTTTTTGTACCGTTTTTTGATAGGCAGTGTACAGTTTTTTCACCCAAATTCCAGTTTTTTTATGGCTCCTGTACAGTTTTGTGGTCTTTGACTTATCACATGTATGAGTACATGTATAAACAACACATATGTGAAAGCACATATACTGATACAAAAACATAATTATAACATCATCCAACGGGGAATGAAAATCAATTCATTGTAAGCGCATTTCATTATACGCATGTTTGCTATAGCCATGTTACTGTACTAAAATGTTTTCAAAATTTTCAGGATTAAACTCAGTCAAATCTTCCTTTGAACTTCTCTTTTCTTCTCGAAAGTTATCTGCTACCAGCAACAATGATGCAGCTTATTGTGAATTGTAAATTTTTTTGTATTCTTCAGCATTTATGGCATGTGGATATGGGGCTGCTATTTACAGTGAAGGTAGGCGCCAAGTACTTTTTATGTATTGTAGACTAATTTACAATGCTATGATATCTTATATAATGTTTATCAAGTATGTATCATTTGATCAGTAATGACTTAGAAGGTTTTTCTCTTTTTCCTACTGCTTTTACAATATACATGTATATTGAATTCAGTAGCATGTAAGGGGTACAATGGTGTTCCTATTAACCTGTCTACAGCATGTAAATCAAAAAGGAAGATTGTTTTATTACTGATATTCAATGTGATGATGTCAGAGGTTTAAAAAAAATGCTTAAAAAGGATTAAATCAAACCATATTTGTAGACCATTTCAGGAAAATTTTGATTTTTCTGCAGCAAATACAAGTAGAGAAAAAAAAACAATATTGTTTTATTATCATCCAACAGCTTGATATGTAGTGTCTCACATACATATAACTTAATTGATGTTCTGTTGTTTACAGATTCGGCCCTGTGGAAGGTGGTGTATGTAATTGGTGGTCTGTTTGTGGGTTTAGCATGTATTGAGGACTGGGAGGTAATCATGTGAATTGATATACTGTAGCCAAGGAACAATAACTGAATACAACCTAGACAATTATTATTATAGTCTAATCTGATATTTCTGTTTGTCATTTGTATTTGTACATTTCTGTGATATTAAGATTCTTAAGAATGAGGTGAAAACAGGATCTTGTATTCTGTATCGCATTCTTCACTTTGTAATAAAGAGTATTCAAGTTAACTACAGTAGACAATGCTTGACAAGTTGATATATTAATAAATGTCAATCTTCTAAAGACTATAATAATGTTTTGTCTACCAATTTCTGGAATATTAATACATATTTACCAGTACCTATATGTTGATGTTAAGATGTATTATGAGTTTTCACTTCTGGTGACAAATGCTTCATTCATGTAAAATGTGAAGATAATGAACAGTGATTAATCTCATAAATCCAGTAAAACAAAACAAATCATGAACAGGACAAAAACATGGACCTTTGGAAACACTAGAGGTGGGATCAGGTGCCTAGGAGGAGTAAGCATCCTCTGTTGATTGAATTTAAATACCCTTTTTTTCCTTTATACAGTATTGTGAGTTTGATCTGTCTACAAATGAACTACGCCAAACTCGTTACACAGTTTATGACAAAATTCTACAGTTTTTAACGACTAAAAATGACCATATTGGTAAGAATTTTTTTTCTGTGACTCTTTTCAACACAAAAGTGATAAAAATCAGTTTTAATAACATGTCATGGAAACAAGAAGATAGATAATTATTGAATTTTGAATTTTAAAATGTTTATAGATCTAGAATAAGTATACAGTGTGAGATACATTATATAAGTCATTATATTTATGTCATTTATTTTCATTGATTGATTGTCTGTCTATCTGTTCATCTGTGTCAGTCTGTCACAAATCATGTCAAAGTATTTTAACTTTGGAATTTCATATCAGTGGAATATTCAGAGAGTTGATCTATGACCTTAAAGTGTCATGACCTGGGGTCAAAGTATAATCTTTAAAGTCAAGGTCATTAGGCAGTGTTGATACTAAAGCCAAGTCTAAGCTATAACTTTGAAACTCTTGATTAGAATGAATTGAAACTGCAGTATATTGATGACATGTCCTTGACCTAAACAGGAAGATAATCATAGGTCAAGGTCATATTCTATGGATCAAAGTCACCACTTTATGAAATGATAATATTGTTCATTTGCTACAAATCTTGTCAAGTAACTTTGAGACCTTTGATTATGAAACATGAAGTGTATAATATGTTTAATGTTATCGTAACAAACACATGTTATGTATGTCATGATCTTGATTTATTGATTGATTGAAGGTTACATATTGATAGCCAAGTCAGATACTGAATGTTTTGAGATATCCATTCTTATTTTTAAATAAAAAACAAGACAAAATACCTTGCTTTATTTGTTTTTGATTTGTAGTTGTAACAAGCCTGTCTGACATCGTCGATGTTGAAGTGGAAGAGCAATATGTACGGTACTTTGGCAATACATATCAAACTGTGATAGTATACGACACAGGAATACGGATTGGAGTGACAGAGTCTTTCATTTATGGCAACAAAAAGTGAGTTTTTGAATTTACTTTTATAATGTGGACTCAAAAGACTCCTGAATTACACTTCAGGACTAAAGAATTCATCATGGGAAGCATCATTTTTAGCTCACCTGAGCTGAAAGCTCAAGTGAGCTTTCCTGATCACATTTTGTCCTTCAAACGTCTGTCTGTCCGTCCGTCCGTCCGTAAACTTTTCACATTTTCAGACTTCTTCTCCAGAACCACTGAGCCAGTTTCAACCAAACTTGCCACAAAGCATTCTTGGGTGAAGGGGATTCAAGTTTGTTCAAATGGAGGGCCTCAACCTCTTTCAAGGGGAGATACAAAAGTAATCTTGATGATTTTTTGTAATTTTTTTAAACGAGCCGTTTTGAATTTATAGCGAAAAATCCCCCCCCCCCCCTTCTCCTTAAGTCATGTTTCTCACGTCTTTCAGACGTGGGACGTAAACATTGTTATATCTACAAATACATATGAAAAATTCCAAGCTAGAAAATATTTTTTGCTTTGAAAAAATTATTTACATTATATATCAGAATTCTCAAAACTTTTCAGAAATTTTGGAAAATTCAGAAAATTCAGCTCTTCTATGATGTAAACAGACTAGTAAATGGAATATATTGTTTCTTATTTATTTCAAACAAGAGAGGGATCTAAAAGTACCCCCACCCCACCCCCACCCACTTTTATGCATCCTTCTGTTGCTTCTACAGATAAAATGGAAATATAGTATTCGTCTACATTAACTTCAATTTATCAAACTGTAAATTCTCCATCTATGATTAAATTATTCATGTGTCAAAATATTCATTTACAGTGATACATGTATAAAACGTTTTGTTTTGATTTGAGGAAATGTGCACTGAAATTGTTGACAGTGGTAGATCTAGATGGTCGGATATGGCCAGTTTGCCGCATATAAGATATTTGGACCATTTCAGTAAACAATTCTATTACATTTTCGGTACTTACTTAGTACATATTATAGTTTTCAGTTCCTGAGTTCATCAGAATTCATTGTAAATTTGTCTTCATAACTGTTCGGCAAACGGGAGGAAATAACTCAACAAGGGGAAGGGAAAAATGTCCCACATTTTTAGAGTTGTTCCTCTTTGATCAGTGAACTTTTGGAAACGGGTTGTAAAACATTTTTTTCTTAAAAGGAGAACAAAACAGTATTTATATGGCTAATTCTTAATTTTAAGATAGGCCCGTGATCTGGTAATGCAAATGTTACATTTTTAGGTCACCTGAGTCACTCAGGTGACCTATTGCTATCCGTTCTCGTCCGTCGTCGTGCGGTGTGCGTCGTGTGTTAACATTTGAACATTTTTAGCTTCTTCTCTGAAACCGCTTAACCAATTTCAACCAAATTTGGCATATAGCATCTATGGGTGAAGGGGAACAAAAATTATGAATTTCATGGTCCCTGCCCCCCCTGGGGCCTGAGGGGTGGGGCTAAAACCACCAAAAATAATGCAATCTTTAAAAATCTTCTTCTTTACTCCAGGACAACAAGCAGTCAAACTGTTGGCATGATTGTAATAAGCATTGAGCCCTCTACCAAAATTTTGAAATTCATGGCCCCAGGGTCAGGGGTTCTGGTGCTAGGGTGGGGTTATATAGATCATATAGTGAAAGTGCATTATTTCTTTGAAAATCTTCTTCTCTGCTCCTGGGTATTAAATAAACTAACTAAGTACATAGTTATGAAGAGCAAGAGTGCCTCTTCCAAAATTGTGAAATTCATGGCCCCAGGGTCAGGGGTTCTGGTGTTAGGGTGGGGCTCTATTGATTATTATATTGAAAATGCATTATTTCTTTGAAAATCTTCTTCTCTGCTCCTGGGTATTAAATAAAGTAACTAAGTACATAGTTATGATGAACAAGAGTGCCTCTTCCAAAATTGTGAATTTCATGGCCCCAGGGTCAGGGGTTCTGGTGTTAGGGTAGGGCTCTATTGATTATATAGTGAAGATGCATTAATTCTTTGAAAATCTTCATCTCTGCTCCTGGGTATTAAATAAACTAACTTAGTACATAGTTATGATGAGCAAGAGTGCCTCTTCCAAAATTGTGAATTTCATGGCCCCTGGGTCAGGGGTTCTGGTGTTAGGGCAGGGCTCTATTGATTATATAGTAGAATTGCATTAATTTTTTTGAAAATCTTTTTCTCTGCTCCTGGGTATTAAATAAACTAACTAAGAACATAGTTATGGTGAGCATGGCTGCCTTTTCAGAAATTGTGAATTATATGGCCCCTGGGTCAGGGGTTCTGGTGTTAGGGTGGGACTCTATTGATTATATAGGGAAAAGGCATGAATTCTTTCAAAATCATCTTCTCTGCTCCTGGGTTTTTTTCAAACAAAGGAAGTGCATGGTTATGATAAGGAAGAATGCCTCTTCCAAAATTGTGAAATTCATGGCCCCTGGGTCAGGGGTTCTGGTGAAGGGGGGGGGGGGCTCTATTGATTATATAGTGAAAATGCATAATTTCTTTCCAAATATTTTTTTCTACTACTGGTTATAAAGTAAAGAAACAAGTGTATAGTTATGATGAGAAAGGGTGCTTCTTCCAGAATTGTGAGTTTGTGGCCAATGGGTCAGATGTTCTGGTGTAAGGATGGGGCTTTATTTATTTAATAATATGGTGAAAATGCATTTCTTTGAAAATCTTTTATGCTTCTGGGGATGTTCAAGGCAAACAGAGTAAAACTTTAAATATGCAAGGGTATTTTTACCAGAATTTTGAACACCTGGACCATTTAGTCAAGTGTTCTGGTCCTGGCCAGGGCTCTATTAACTTGTATTCTGCTGAGCAAAGTTATTCCCCTTTGCCATTCACCTTTGATAATTAATCATTGTAAATAATGTATTTGAAAGCTTAATAGAATAAGAGAACTATGCAAGACAATTTATTGTATAATAAAAAAAAAGTACTTTCATAGTTTTAATGACTTGGAAATAATAGATGAATAAAAATGAGACAAAAATAACTTATCTTTTTAAATGTTCTTCAAAGGCCAAGAGAGGCCATTGTGAGAAGTAATAATATGGGGTTAAATAATAGACATTTTGTTAATAGTCTGCATGGCAGATAGATACTAGACCAATTATTTTGTTGATGCTAATCAGACTATTTTTCTTGCTTTTGGGCAACAAAGCTTCATTTGTCAGTTTATGGATCCTCTAAATTGTTGTATTGTACTCAGGTGACCGTTAAGGCCCTTGGGCCTCTTGTTAGAGTTGTTCCTCTTTGATCAGTGAACTTTTGGAAGCGGGTTGTAAAACATTTTTTTCTTAAAAGGAGAACAAAACAGTATTTATATGGCTAATTCTTAATTTTAAGATAGGCCCATGATCTGGTACAGTAATGCGAATGTTACATAACCAACTGTAACAAAAGAAAGGATTGTATCGTAAAATAGATAAAGAATATTGTTCTGCTAATATTGATCATGGATACAAGTTTCATATAAAATTAAAGAAATTTTAAGACATAATCTTTCTTTTCTTCCCTTTTTAGGTCACCTGAGTCACTCAGGTGACCTATTGCTATCAGTTCTCGTCCGTCGGCGTGCCTCGTGTGTCGTGTGTTAACATTTGAACATTTTTAGCTTCTTCTCTGAAACCGCTTAACCAATTTCAACCAAATTTGGCATATAGCATCTATGGGTGAAGGGGAACAAAAATTGTGAATTTCTTGGTCCCTGCCCCCTAGGGCCTGAGGGGTGGGGCTAAAACCACCAAAAATAATGCAATCTTTAAAAATCTTCTTCTTTACTCCTGGACATCAAGCAGTCAAACTGTTGGCATCATTGTAATAAGCACTGAGCCCTCTAACAAAATTTTGAAATTCATGGCCCCAGGGTCAGGGGTTCTGGTGCTAGGGTAGGGTTATATAGATCATATAGTGAAAGTGCATTATTTCTTTGAAAATCTTCTTCTCTGCTCCTGGGTATTAAATAAAGTAACTAAGTACATAGTTATGATGAACAAGAGTACCTCTTCCAAAATTGTGAATTTCATGGCCCCAGGGTCAGGGGTTCTGGTGTAAGGGCGGGCTCTGTTGATTATATAGTGAAAATGCATTAATTCTTTGAAAATCTTCTTCTCTGCTCCTGGGTATTAAATAAAGTAACTAAGTACATAGTTATGATGAACAAGAGTACCTCTTCCAAAATTGTGAATTTCATGGCCCCAGGGTCAGGGGTTCTGGTGTAAGGGAGGGCTCTATTGATTATATAGTGAAAATGCATTAATTCTTTGAAAATCTTCTTCTCTGCTCCTGGGTATTAAATAAAGTATCTAAGTACATAGTTATGATGAGCAAGAGTACCTCTTTCAAAATTGTGAATTTCATGGCCCCAGGGTCAGGGGTTCTGGTGTTAAGGCGGGGCTCTATCGACTATATAGTGAAAATGCATTAATTCTTTGAAAATCTTCTCCTCTGCTCCTGGGCATTAATGTGATAAACTAAGTACATAGTTATGATAAGGAGGTGGGCCTCTTCCAGAATTGTGAAAGCCATGGCCCCTGGGTCAGGGGTTCTGGTGTTAGGGTGGGGCTCTATTGATTATATAGTGAAAATGCATTAATTCTTTGAAAATATTCTTCTCTGCTCCTGGGTATTATTTAAACAAACTAAGTGCATGGTTATGATGCATAAGGATGCCTTTTCAAAAATTGTGAATTTCATGGCCCCAGGGTCAGGGGTTCTGGTGTTAGGGTGGAGCTCTATTGATTAAATAGTGAAAATGCATTGATTCTTTGAAAATCTTCTTCTCTGCTACTGGAGATTATTTAAACAAACTAAGTGCATGGTTATGATGCATAAGGATGCCTTTTCCAAAATTGTGAATTTCATGGCCCCAGGGTCAGGGGTTCTGGTGTTAGGGCAGGGCTCTATTGATTATATAGTGAAAATGCATTGATTCTTTGAAAATCTTCTTCTCTGCCACTGGAGATTATTCAAACAAACTAAGTGCATGATTATGATAGGCAAGGAT